TGCAGACGAATACCCTTCTCGAACTTGCGGAATAATCGGTAGGAAGATTCTACGAATAAGTAGTTCCGAAACAAAAATAACAGTTGAACTCGTCTGGCTTCACCTACAACTGCCGACTCCAAATGGCAAGTTCTACCTCTGCGGGTTCTTCGGAGTCCAATGAGAGGTCTTGTGCCAACTCCTCGTCCTCAAGGCAAAGAACCCTGGTCGTGTGCCAGGGACTAATTCAAGAATCGCGGAGGCTGACGCTGGGTTGGCATAGTTTGCATGAACATTAATGGTGCACAGACCGTACATTGAGATTTATCCATCGATGTCGTGCCCACGGCAGGCACTTTTGGGTTCTCAGAAAGGTCGTGCTTCCCGCGAGGTTCGAACAATGTTAATGAGAACATGTATGGTTCTGTGAGGGGCTTGACAGCCCCGGCAGGCTATGGGGACACGAAACACGAGTTTACCATGTGCTGACAGTGTTTTTTCTCGCTTTATGGAGTCTGGGACATACTCGCAATCTCGTCGTCTATATCTCGCCCTCGTCGAAGTTCCGATAGATATCAAGCGTATCCATAAGATTTTGATTGACGATAAGTGGGATCGAAGCAAGATTTTAAGAAGGTAAGTGACATATTCTTGAAGCTTGTAACACCGCCGTCCATCTGTACTGTATTTTTGGGTCCCCGCTCAACCGTTCATGCGGGCCGTTGACCTATCTTTCAGCCAATGTTCAACTAATTTTAGCAAGCTACCGACCTTGATCCTATGGTCTCGTCGACATTTCGAATGGCGACGTCCCATGCGGGGTCTGGACGCGTGAACAAAAACGCGTCGATATTGCCATTTCCCAAGCCTCTTTCCTCAAGTCGAACTATTTTTAGCAGAATACCATAGTGTGGCGCGTCGAGGGTCTGGAGTCTGGACTCTGCAAAGGTCACGTCCTGTCCAAGCTGTAGCCTGGGAATGAGACTCGGGTTCCGGTCGGCGGTGGTCATTGAATCTATCCTCAGTCTGGGGCGCATGAACTTCAAATATTTGAATGACTGGCCGTGAAAGTCGAGACCAGTAACTCACCTCAGTGCATTGAGTATCCCGACCATTGCCTCCCTAGATCTTGTTAGTAAGGTATCGTAAATTGTTGAGGAATTCACGGCCGAGTGAAGTTTAAGCTGGAGGGTCAAAGCAATTTACCAAGGGTGCCAAGCGCTCCTGGTCATCCAGTGACCCTTCAAATTTCCACAACGCGCCACGCGCCATTAGCATCACGACACATACGTATTTCACTCCAACCCTGACCACTGACAATTCTCGAAAGGCGTAATCACCTCAATACTCAAAAACTGAATCTCACCCTGACTCGATTATGCTTCTTGTGCTATTCAACACTCAACACCCTCTGAAGTATTGAGTTCCGACTCTACAGGCCCAGGCGTGTGATGGGTTCGGTTTCGTTCGCAACAACCAAAATCGTTTCATATCGGACTCCCCAGACCCCCAGACTCCTACCAAAGAGTGATCGGAGGAGGGCCGCGTTCTTGCAAACAAATAAGTAACAATGAACACGATTCCGTTTTTGCTTCCGCTGGCTGTCCTGACATGTTTTGCTTTGCAGATGACCCCGCAGCGAATGGCGAGGTATTTACGCGTCGCCGAACGGTCAAGCTCCATCGGATCTCAGAACTTCTTGGAAGGGCAGAACAGCTAACAGCTTCGTGCTCGATCGACGGCGTCTGGTGTAATGACGATCAGTCAGGTAAGGTGCTGCGCCGTTCAGTGTTTGTTGAGGTTGAGGAAGTTCCGGAGCTACGACGAGTCGACAGCGAGAATATAGGGGAATTTAGCGCTAGGAGTCGTGTTCGAGGGGCGGTGATCGGAGAGAATGTTCGAGACTGAGTGCAGATTGTTGACATTGGTGGCAGTGGGTACTTGCACCAAAGATGAACAGGCAACCTCCGGTCGTCGACGGAGGACGGGCAGAAGCCTCCTGGTAACCATACACAAAAGGTCTCAGATCCAGAACTCCCCAGGTGACGGGCAGACTTAGGTTCTTCCCCAATGACCGAGACCTGGAGTCGAGTCTGGAGTGAATAGACGGGCAACACGAGATCTCGAGATGTACTTCAAGGTAGTGGTCGCCACAGAGTCAGACTCCCAGAAAGTAGCCGAGATGCGAAACGACCAAGCCCTTAGTATTGCGGAATTCCCTTGGTATTCTAGCACTAGGTAGGAGACCGACTGAATTGCTGAATTGAAAGAGGGCAGCGAGAGACATGAAATAAGGGTTTTTACGTGCCTGAAATCTCTGACAATGATAAAGTTCATGGGCGCGATGTATGTTGTGATAGGCTTACCTCGTACCTATACACTACTGCATACATCTACCGCCATGTTGGAAGGCAAAACGGTAAGTAATTGAGCGGCGATGTCGAGTGTGATGCCAATAAGGGGATAAGAGATTATCTCTGTGGTTGCGGCGGCTTTCGAGCCTGAACCGGTCCATAATTCAAAGACTAAGCATAGGCCATTCAGGGTTTGGGATATTGGACGGACGTAAGTTTCCAAGCTGACGGTCGAGGAGACAGGAAAGGGACATGCGCACTCGCCGATAAGAAGGATACGGGACGCAAACGTTCACCGGCACCTAAGAGGGATCAATGATACGTAGAGAACTAGATGCTTACCTGGCTCTGGTTCTCCCGTTCTTCGCCCTTTCAGGTATCCGTCCAGGTCTATCGGAACCTCTCTCCCCTTCTTCAACAGACCTTCCTTCCTGAGTTAGCTCCCGACCCCGAGGAATACGGTCCAGCGTAGAGAAAGTCGAGTCATTGTTCATTGATGCTGTGAATGATGTCTGAAAGCGAATAAAGACGTTCTGAAGGGAGCGACTTGATCAATAATGAGCTTGAATTCGATGGAAGTTGGATCTCGCTCGTACGAGCGGCACCGTGAAGGCGTACAAAGGAAGAAAGGGAGGGAATAACGAACCTTAATACTTTTATGCAGCGTGTAAGCAAGGGTCGAAGGGAAACGTGCAGAATTCTCAACTTTGATTACTTACCGAGGGTACGTCTATATTCTGGCTTCCCACAAATTTCAACTTCCTGTTCTTAGTTTAGTTGCGTTCAGTGTCGAGCGGTTCCCGGGCCCAGGTATGGTCACATACAGACACGTACAGATGAATCATGGGTACGTTCATTCTGCAGGGTTGTCAGGGGTTTAGTCGGGTTCGAAGTGTTTGGAACGGAAACCATCGATGATAGAGCACGGCATATCCTGACTAGTTCATACGAAGGCGCGATCGAGAAATTAATTGCCGTTAATATTGCTAGAACGAATCAGCATGCATACAGGGGAAGTCTACCTGTGATCATACTGGCGTTTCGTTCAACCATAGAATAGAAATGATGATGGACCAGGACGTACTGTGGGATCAATCATCGAACTCAAAGAACATATACCACGCTGCCCTCCCTGCTCGGGTAAATATGCCTTGAGGTTGTATCCCAAGACTCCACTGACTTGTACTACTGCCGGGAAAGATTCGGGAGATTCGTTGGGATGCAGACAAGTACAGGTAGGATTGAATACACTGATGGCTCACCTTACATTTTATTCTTCTCACTTCCATTCGAGCCTGATAGACGCGTCTGGAGTTGATATCGGCAGGCATTCGATAGCAGTATATTCTTGTAATCGCTGAAGCGCGACTGGCGCCACGACGCAAGGTTCGCCCGGGCCCTCGCAACTCGATTTTCACTAAGCCTAGTATGTGCATCGAGCAACGTTCGAGGAACCCAGAAAGTATATCAAGCAGCGCGTGGTAGACAGAATATCCCACGTGTACCTGGGATAGCGCCCTCTTCCCAGAGGTCAAGTTGGATATCCGTTGGCTATTCGCAGCTGAGAGGTCAAGTGATCGTGCATGTTCTGCTTCTTGAACGAATGCGGAATCTACTCGGCGTTTTTTCTGCCTTGCTTTATCCTTGACATATGCCCGTTTCAATAGCTCGGGGGTGTTACTGCTGAGTCTTTTCTGGGAGGGCCGAAGGAATGAGTGAAGAGAAGCTGGGGTTTCCGATGGGGTACGACTCGACCTCAATCGGTCTCATGATGGCGATACTATCCTGTTCCGATGGCCGACCTGAGTTCTCTGAGACTGTGCGGCCAGAACCTGCTCACTAAGTGTTGTAGAAAGACACCTTCTAGACTTCATTAATTCAAATGTTTTTTGTTGAATATAATCAAACGCAAATACGCACTAAACTCCGAATCCTCGATACTGTACGGATGATGTGATTAAAGGTCGGTCTTCTCATGACGCAGGAATAGACGAGGGGTTTGATGAGGTCTAGAGACGAGCCTGGTAGCGATGAGACTTCCGATGATGGTACATGATGCCAATTTCGAAGTCTGAAATGTTCGGGAGCAGAGGACCATCACCGGTCCATATCATATCGCAATGGAAGAAGCAATTCGTTGGCAATCTGAAGGCACGTAAGAGAATTTTAGGGTGACGGATGGAGAGGTCGAAAGTCTTCCTAGCTGACTGTCTCTGACTGTGTTGATTGCATACGTCGATTGTATACTAAACGCTTGACGGGAACGGACAACGTTCGAATATTTCTTCTTCCATGATCATGTGTGATGTCGAAAGGAATACATCCCATGTACGTGCAGGTTGAACACGGATGAGCTCTCGATGGACTTTGCATGGAGTTTGGACAAGAACGGTGCTTCGCTCGTCGCTGACTGCCACGGAAAGTGAAGGATCACAAAGAAGCAAATGAAGGGCTGTGGTACGATGGTGCCTTATTACCCCAAGGTTTATTGTCTGCGAGTCTTGAGGTGGGTGCTATTAAGAAGCAATTTGATAAGAGGGTAGTTCCTCAGTTCCAATGCGGTAGTAGCAGACTGAAATTAACCAGGCCAACCAGGAAATCGAACAGAGGCCAGTAACGGAGAGTGTTTGGTAGAATGTGCAGGAACGCACTCACACGGTGGTCAAGGTGCCCGTAACTCAGTGGTAGAGTGTGAGATTGCAATATAGAAGTGACCGCCACGCAATCCTTGCAATATCTTGAAGCCCCGTGTTCGACCCACGGCGGGCACTTGTTTTGGTTCCCTCGAGTACATACTGATCGAGAGACTTAAGAGCGACGCCTCTTTTACTGGGTACTAGGGCTGCTCAATTCTCAGTTCGTCCCCAGTTCGTCAGCTCATCCCAGCTCGTCAGCTTATTTCGCGGGAATTTTTTGCGAATTTTGCCCGAGACGAGCTGACGAACTGGGACGAGCTGACGAGCGGCGGACGAACTGAGAATTGAGCAGCCCTACTTGCCCCACGAACCATCTCATGAATTCATTGGCATACTTCCCCTTGAGGCGAAGCAGATCGATAGTCTAGTGACAGCGACAGTGGGAAGGAGCCTGGTCACTGAAGGTGGAGTCGTGATTTGGAGCTGTAGGAGTCTTCGATATACTCTATTATGATCATGAGAACTGAAGCTGTGTGGAGGTGGATGGAGGCGCACTAGTGACACCAAGCAATCATGACTCCAATCTAAATTGTAACCCATACGGGCAGAACGGAAAATGATAGGAATCCACGACCACATCACTCCAAGCCAGGAGTCTGAGATCTATTAGTATATCATGACGCGATGTTCTTCGGGTGCAGGTCGGTTTTGGTTCTGTGCGACTTTCGAGGGTCAGCGAAGTGGGCAACTTTTGGAAAAGACTCTGAGAGTATAACTTCTGCTCCTACATAAGTTCCTCTAACCCGCACTCGAGTCTGCTGGGGTTCGTGGCGCCACGAAAGCGAGGAGGTAGAGGTTCAGTGCAAGTCCGTTATAAGTTGCCGGCCTCCGGGCTTACTTATCCCGGTAAGGGATCACGTGTATGGCGCGTAATTATCTCCGTGACCGTGCCACAATGGTCCTCAACTAGATACCACGAACATTGACAATGAACGCGTCGAGGTGCGTATAGATTTCGACTCACATTGCAGGGGTTGACTATGTCCTACCTTTGTCTTTTCCTCACTTCTATCATCATGGCAGACACGTCAAATCACCTCGATGGTCTCCCTACTCAAACCTCATTCCCTCCCGAGGCCGACACTACTCGAATCAACTTTAAATCAATGAAGCAGTCCAAAGAGACCAAGGAGACTAGACTTCTCAAATCCTGGAAGCCACAACATTAATATACAGCAGCTTCGAGGAATAACGATACGAACGACGAGCCCCACGATTCCGAGTCCAGAGGTTGAGGTGAACACTTTCTTGAACGACGGTCCTGTCCCGGAAGCTTCACAAGATGAGGTAGATGAGACGTGGTATCTGCAGGAGACGATATGGAATGTGAAGAAGGGAAGACCTTCTTATCCCGCAGATGTGGACGCCTGGGAAGACACGATACGCGCATTATCGGGCAGCACAGGGACTCGAGATAGTATGAGAGCCAGGATGCGATAGAGATGGGCCTGAACGAAGATGGCGTTAACAAGCACATACAAGAGTTCCCTCAATGCAGCCGAGACCCTATCTGGCAAGGAACTCACGGTTCATTTGCGTTGTCGTCCTACCAGGGACGCCGAATACAGCACGGATGCGGATACGGAACTGGAAGCGGGACAAGTTACTATAATTGAAGTTTGGGATAGCATTGTCGATGCAAAGTTTGAGGAGCGATACCGACCTGAAGGAAGTCAACAGGGTGTGTCTTTCCCCCTTGTTTGCTATGGAATCAATCGTCGCTTAAGTGCGCGTTTTAGAACATTGAGCAGGTCATAGGCAAAGCAGTATGCTTCACTCGGACCCTCATCGGGGCTTCAGACCCGGCCCAACTATTGAAAAGCGTCAGACGCGTCTTTGGTACTTCTCGAGGGCGGTCGCGTACGTTACCGAAGGTTCGATTTCATCGAGGTGAGTGCTATGCTATTAGTACATAATCCTGGTGTAGCTCACTGATAACGCCATCTCAGACATTAAAGCTCCCTCGTTCGATCCATTCTCTCGTTGTCGATGGGTTATAGCCCCACAGTGGAACGCGTATACTTTGAGGGTCAACAGGTCTGCGACTATCTCGATGACGTTGGCACGGAAATTTTGCATCGCACTAAAGCCCTACTTGATAACTACCAATCAGCTCGAATCCTCGGTCGAGCTATCCGTCTGTGGGGGGTCTATGTTCTCGACAAAGATAGAAATCCAGTTGTAGACATTGTAGGCGGGCAGGACGACTGTTCTCAGGGCCGAAGCAGCCCGTGCGGCCCGTAGCCTTGAGGAGATGCGCATGCGGAAGTTCTTCATGACTATCCTGCTCGATACCTGGACCATCGTACAGGTGGCGTGCGAGGACGACGTCATAAACACACGCTCTGGGGACCAGATTCCCCTTACAGGGAATTTATAGATAATAGGACGGTTATCTCTACCCCGCATCTCCGGATCTTCAATTCATAGCAATGTAAACGCCAAACGCCACACTCTCGAGCGGAGTCGTGGACGGCAAGGACGGCTACGACTGATCGGGCGGGTCTAGTACCATCCATGAGCTTCGCAAACTCTCATTGGCTGCTTGCCGGAGAGGATTGAATGGTTGTTGACCTTCCCTTCTTTTGTATTGACTCTATCTGATAGCACTCAAGATACTCTACGACGCGGGACGGGTTCATCGGGGCCTCTCCGTTGTGAACTGCCTTTGTTGCTACCGGTGTAGGGAAATGAACTCACGTCTGCAAGATTACCGACCCGGAATACGAGCGACCTTTCAGAGCAAAATAACCAGACCTCTTCCACGGCCGTAGAACAATTCAGATGATTTGTTCCTGAGCAATCGGAGGTCACGACGGCGTTCATTGGACAGTCGTCCGGCATATAGTTATTGTCTATCAATCTCTAGTCATAGCATATCGCTAGTCAAGCTATCAAGCCTACTCGACACCGAAAAGTCCCTTGATGGTGGTCCCTTGCCAGCTACGAAAGTCAAAGGAAATCGTTAGGGGACGGTGGTCCAGAAGCACATTCCCAGTGAGAGACATACCAGAGGTGGGCTCCTTTGAGATTGAGGATTGGTCTACGAAACGGGGGTTGTATGTCAACCAACGAACAACGGAAGAGAGAGAAAGAGAGATCCTCCCACTCACATGACTCCACGGTCGTTGGGAACTCCCAGGGTTTCTTCGAAGAACTTGGAGAACCCAGCGCTGTACGCTTCTGGTTCGATGTCGCCCGCGAGGGTCTGCCACGAGATCGGTCAAGGCGTTGTGGTATGAAAGCAGAACGACTCACGATGGTGCAATGATACGCTGGATCTAGTTTTCCTCCGAACGACATGGGGACATCTTGGGAGAGGATGACATTGATAACAGCTTCGGGCTTGCCGACGATCTCTGCAGCGCGCTGTAGGATGGTAGTGTCAGTAGTGAAACTGCTGGGGTTCTGATGAATACGACCGACCTTGGATAACTTGAGGACGAAGCTTGGGATATCATCGATCTGTGCAAAGGGTCAATGGATATGGTATCTTGAGGCAGAGATGAGGAGCGTTGAGCCTACCTTGACGTTGGTCTTTAGGTCAATTACAGGCATAGTGGGCTAGTGTGGGTAGTGAGGGATTTAGGAGAGGAGAAGGAATACCTGTTTTATAGGGAAGAAAGACGGCCGCAGCAATGTTGAAGTAACTTGGTGATAAACCTACACGGACGAAGTGGTTTGTATCCAAGAAGTTTCATTCAAAGCCAACTGTAATGTCGGTCAACCCCAAAGCGCGATATTTACTAGGATTACTATTGACCGGACGTTGTAAAACTTGATGTTGACGGAATGACGCTACGCGGAGCGGGCCGATAGTACTGCAGTTCCCTGCGGTCCGCGAGTGTGGGTTTCGACTTTCACTGCGAGTAAGCTTGGGAGCTCGGTAAATCCACAGTTTCGAGAGTGCACCAGTGGAGGTTAGTAATGGGGTCAGCTCGGGTAGGTCATAGAATACAATGCCATAGTGTTGTGCGGGCTCGGGCTGGGCTCAAAACCCTGGCCCAGCTCGGCTTTGAATTTGAGGGCTGAGGCCAGGCTTTACCGACATCCGAGCCCAAGCCAGAGGTTAAAGCCCTGGGCTTGGGCCTGAGTACTGAGTACTGAGTACTGAGTCTCAGTTTGTACCAACCTCATATATTGTCACTGTAAGGAAAATAAAGCTGTCAAACAGTGTAGTGTAGTATGCATCTCGGGGTGCCTTCTCACCATTGCCCGTCAAGCATGTTGGTCTAGAGAGGCGGAGTTGACACGTCTTCCACGACTGGTAGCCCGGATTCAGTGAGTAGTGACCTTGATCTCAGCTGTAACAATCAAATGAATCACTTACCGTTGTTAACGTCATATAGTATTGCGTCAACGTGGGGACTAAGAATGAAGTTGGAGGACTGGAATGTGAGAAGTAAATTTCGTTTGGGATCATAATTCATCGGAAATGTGTATAGCGCTACTCCCGGATCAAAGGGTTCGGCCAGAAGCTACATACCTATGGAGCCGCTGGGCCTCAGTCCTGCGGCGATAATGATCCCTTCACGTCATGGCAGGTCAGATGCCAACTACACCTTTTTGGTGGCTTGTCTCTTACAAATCCGTACTTTGATATTACTGAGATACCTACCATTGTATTCTCTTCAATCATGATCCATAGATTTTCTTAGAGACAAAACAAGGTGAGCGGCCGACTGGAAGATTCCGATTGCAGAGTGCCAGATGCTGGGGGGGGGGGCCGGGGGGGCGGTCGCTACTATTGCAGACTATCAAGATAAAGATCTCTACGTCGTAATTCGATACCTTCAGCCCTCACGCTGCTTGAACTTGGCGTACGATGCTGGACAAGAATCAATATTCAATCTCAACCAACCAACCAGATGTCGGGGCGTTTCAGCTACGTCATAACCTAACCTCGGAGGCGACGTCCAACGTCCAACGCCCACCATCCAATAAATTATGAGCACATTTTTGGGTCAAAAATGTCAGACGTTTACGAAAACGTGCGGTCTTGCGGCATGCCGTCAAGAAAACGTCCGGCGTTGGGCGCTGGCTCTCAGAACATTGTTAAACGTTGGCGCCTGGCG